GGACCTGTAACTGTGAAAGGTTATAAAGTTAGCTCCCCAGGGAGGCACTTATTAATTTGCAGAGGAGAGGCTTCTGCCATAACATTCCAGGCATGAGAAGTGCCATCGGACCTTTCTGTGGAGGGGTGGGCTTACATTGAAAGCTCTGAGGTTTCAGGGGGCCCTATAGAGCTAAAATAGACCTGCCCTTTCAGGTGTCTCTGAAGCTCTGTGACTGTCATGTCCAGAGTCCACCTCTTTAATGTGTTCTCTATGCCACTGCAGAAGTTAAGGGACTCATTGCAAGTTACAAAATAGTCCCCCAGGTTCTTAAAACACAGCCTATAATTATTTATTAACTACCCCTAGTTTCTCACTATTCCCCTACCCAGTGTTACCCTCATTTAGTAAACTTCCAACTGCTGATCAACATGGGTGTTTTGCATTGGACTATGTAATTGTAACTATTAAAAAAACCATCGTTTTAGTTAAAGATTTGATTCCTGGTGAGCTCTGTCTTCCTGGCTTGCAGAGAGGGAGGGAGAGAGGGAGCACAGAGTGGGGATGGGCAGGGGGGGGAGCAGAAGGGGGAAGAGGAGGGAGAGGAGGAAGAGGAAGAGTTGTTGTTGTGGGGAGGGGGGATGGATATTCTGGTGTCTGTTCCCATGAGGGCACTGACCCCACCATGAAGGCCTTCACCATGAGCTCATCTCCCCTAATGATCTCCCAACACACTCTCTCAATCACCCCGGGAGTTAGGGCCTCAGCAAATGAATTTGATGGGAGGGGGACACAAACCTTTAGTCCTTAACATGCCCTGTCCTCTATTCTTTCTCATATTTATATCCTGTTCCTCTGAGACTTTCTTCTCTGTCAATGAAATTTTACATCTCCATTTAACTAATTCACATTTTATTCTTGTGGTTTGATCTTGTCTTAGAATCTATCACCTTCCATTCCTACCCCTTAAGGGCCTGTGACTCATTCTTTCCCATTGCATTTGGGGTCACTTATCAACTTTTTCTGGAAATCTCCTAAGTCTGTTGATAAGGTGACCTCCAATTTCTGTGTTTCTCAGAGCCCCACTTTCAATGACTCATTCCACTCACCATGTGAACATAACCTCTACCAACTTTATAATTCTGGATGCCTCAAATCCTGCTCCTAACCTTGGCTCACTATCCCCACACGTTGATGATCTTGTGATTCCCATCCCTACTCCCTCCATTCCCTATCACCCTCGTTGTTCCTGAGGTCCCTTAGCAACTGTAACAGTGGACAGGGTGTAATCCTTTAATCCTGACCCTGCCTTGATGGCAGCTTTTCTCCCTCTACTACTATCTCAGAAAACCCTGTTCCTGCATAATCACATTCTCTATCCTGATTGCTTCTTCCCAGTTGACTTTTTTTTGAGATCCATTGAGCATAGCCTCTGAATCTCTTTTAATAATCATACTGCTGAAAAGCCTGAGGCATTTATCAAAACTTTTGTATTCATGCACAGCAATTTTAGCTTGAAAACAAGCTTTAATCTTTGATATATGATACTTCTTAGTTAAAGGCAATTATACATTATTCATTTACAAATATCCAACAAAGAGCATTCAGCAAATGTTAACTAGACATTGTGGTTTTCAGGGCACAGCATAGTGAAAGGCAGGCATGATGCTCTGTGTGGTTCAGCTTCTATTACCATTTTAACTTATCACATTAGGACATCCTTCAGCTCTTACTGCCAGTATTTTCCAGGTGACAAGAGTGAAACTTGCCCTTAAAGAACTATGTCTTTTAAATAGGATTTCTTCTGTGGATAGGGTCATTTGATCTGACACTGGGATAGGCTTGAAGTCCTTTGGGGACAATGACAGCACAGGCAGCACTCCTGTCTTGCACGCTGAAGAGCCAAGTCCTGTGACTGCTGTTCCATGGACTGTTGTCACTGCTATGGAGGGGTAGAGAGAGTTACTGTAAATGGAAGCCAGTGGATGATGTGCTTAGGTCCAACAGAAAGTAATTGCATTTTTGTTTAGGATTCAATACAAAAATACTGATTTGAAGAAATATGTGTACTCCTGTGTCCATTGCAGCACTATTTACAATAGCCAACTTACGGAAACAAGCTAAGTAGCCCATAGATGAGTGGGTAAAGAAGATGTGACTTCTATACAGAATGGACTACTACTCAGCTAGAAAGAGATGAAATCTTGCCAAACTGTTTGTTGAAACAACCAATAGCTAATTTATGGAATGCTATAGCAGTCTGTAATGACTTGATTTCCCTCTATGAAAACTACATTTTCTGATAATTTATGAAGTGCTGGGGAGGATGCGAAGTTTGGCATGGGTTTTAGAAGAATCAAGAGACCTACGGTCAGAAGTAAAGGAAATTTTTATTGAAAGTATTTTTCAAGAGAGGAGAGGGCAGAGGTCAAATTACCTGCCTGCATGTGAGTAGGGGCAGGATCTAGCATTTACAGTTAAGCTTATTCTGCCTTGTGGTTTCTGGTTTTGCTTAGTTAGCAAGTTCTGCGTGCATCCCCTTCCCAGAATAAAGGAGCAGGAACTTTCTGTGAGAACTGTGGGATAGGAAATGTTGCTGGTGGTTGGGGTACAAATAGGGCAATAGCTTTTGACCCAGTTTAAGCTCATCAATTTATATAAAATTGCATATTAAAAAGAAGCAATATTCTGTATACTAGTTTAAACTATGAAGAATATATATATTTAGTAAAATGTTTTTAAAGTAGAAGGAATCGTGGCAAAGTTAAGTGAAGTCCTTTCACAGAAAAGCTTTAATTCTTGAAGTATTAGTTAATTTGTTTTTAGATGTTTCATTGGATAAGTGGAAATAATGAGGCTCTCCTTGTGAGGAGATGTCTGAGCATTGTTCATACTGGGGCTCTTTTGTGATCACTGAATATTATCTCTTCTAGTCATTGAGCACATCCTGCTTTGTGATTTTGGTCCAGGCATCAGGGATTTCACCCCTCCCAGCAAACTTTTGCTTATATCTTTCTTGTAACTCTGATCTGAAGTGACAGACAAACCATTTCCAGTATGACTGGGAGGATAAGTCTGGGGTGATGCTCCATGTGGCATATTCCCCACCTGCCTGTCGGTAGGTCTTCCACGGGATTTCTCTGCCATCTGGAAAAACTATTGTACAATCACTTGCTACCAAACGAGTACAGAAATCGATGACAAAGTGGTCTGTCTTGTGCCATATCCCTCCTTTGACAGCCGAAGGATGGTGAAAGGAAACACTGTGGTCTCCTTCGTGTGCAGGGATTGTGTTTGTACAAATTGCCGCACAGGAAGGACACTGTTTCCAGCAGCCACAGAGATGTTCAGAGAGCTTTTTTGTGATTTCAGGAACCATTTCTTCTGCAGACTTGCTCAGACACTTCTGTTCCACTGTCTTCATTGCGGGATCCAAAGCTTCACTCCTGGCTTCTTTGAGGAAATCATTATCTTTTATCTCTTGGTGTTCAATGCCTACCAAGTCCTTTCGAGGCAAGATCAGTTTCTCGCTCAGCTGATCACAGAACATATCCAGCCACTCAGACACTGTGCTGCCTTTATCTTTAGCTATTTCTGTGGATTTGTGAATGGCTGAGAGAATGGTATTTTTTATTTCATCTAACCTTAGTTTTAACATATCCTTCACTTTGTTACTTTCTTTGTCTGAACAATATGACTTTCAATGTAATTCCTGAAAAATGATTGTGGATGATGAAGGTACTGCCAGTAGTTATCAAAATTCTCCTCTTCTGCTAGAGAGATGAGAATGTGTTTCTCCAGGTTGGCCCTGTTTCCATTGAAAGCAGAACAAGTTGCTCGAATGTCACCTGAAATGTCACGAACCATTAGCCCCTAGATGGTAGTTAAGACAGCAGGAGTGAGCTTGTTCCACAGAAAATCAACAAATGTTTTGATTGAAGTTGCTCCCTGACAAGAGATCTTAAAACTCATGAAGAAATCATCTTTCTTGCTTTCCAGGTAGTTGACAGGATCATTTGCTCGCTTGAATGCCCTGTGTATCTCCTTAAATTCTATTGATCCACTTTGGAATAAACTCGAAGATAAATCCATTTTATATCAACTTGTAAACGTGTATCTTTCCATAGTTGATGCAGATTGCACCTCTTGCTCCATTATTGTTAGGATTTCGTGGAAATAACTTGAATTGTAATCATACTGTTGCTTCCTAATATTGGTAATAGTTTCTTCATGTCTTGAGACTATGTTACTAGTCGTCATTTTTATGGATTCATTTTTATGGATTCTTCATCTTCCACCTTTAAGTGCTTTGTAAAGAAAATATAACTCTTTCTCATTTGGACATGTTTGTCATAATCTATTTGAAACTTCCAGAATTTTCTTTCAGTATGTTCACCACATTTTTCTCTTTATTGAAATGTTGCAAAAGGATGTTTTCTGCATCCACATCAATCTTAGGCTCTGGAATTGGCTGGAGTATTGAGGACACTTCAGAGACCCAATTTTGCCAAAGTTCATTGAATATTTTACATAGCTCCTTCTCACTCAATTGTTTGCCCTTTACAGTTAAAGCCAACTCTCGACTTCTTTTTAATAATTCCATTTCATAACTTGATTTTTTGTTATCCAGTTTTTCTTGACTTTTTTTAAAACTGATAAGTTCCTTGGCTTTTTTTTTGGCTCTCTGAAATAAGTTGCTCTTTAAGGCTTATTAACTTATTCTCAAAATTTGCTTTCCACTGAATGAGTATTTCGCTATCTGGATCTTCATTAAAATATTTTTCAAATTTTTGCTTGATGGCTTCATATTTTGCTGCGACAGGAACATGAAGTTCTTCTGTCATGAGTATTTTGGTTTTCCCATTCTGAATCTGGTTGATCAGCTTGTCCTGCAAGCCCAGCACATGACTCCTCAGCTCCCAGGTCCAGGAGTTGTACATGGTCTCCAGTTTGCTCATGGCCACGACCTCTTGGGTATTCCTGAAACTGAAAATGAAGTTCTCACTCACGAGTGATCTCCACAAGTCTTGAACTCACAGTTTTACATCTGATATCTTCATGATGCTTCCCCTGGCCTCCTGCTGGGCGGTCAGGAGAATCCTGCTCTTCAGGTCCTGGATGTTGTGACTGTAGCGAGGATTAGGAGGGGCCATTGGGGGGTTGCCGTCCCACAGGTGGGCAAAGTAGCAGACATGAGTGTTGACGTCAAACTTGATGACATCGCTGAAGCGGGTCACATCTGAGCACTGTTCCTGCTCAGCAGCTGTCGCTGCCATCTCGTCCAGTCTCTGCTGTAGTCGCCTTCGTCCTTCCATGTTTAGGTCTTCAGCTGTGACTTCTCCCACATTCTGATGGACAAAGAGGCAACGTGGAGTGATTTTCACTTGCTTCATCCTTAGAAAGGCCTGGACAACTATCTGTAGAATGTCTTGCATTTCTGATGGATTCTCTCCAAAAATATTGATCAGAGTCAAGTTTGCAAGTCCAATGACAAAGGTTGCCAACTCGTTGTCCCGACTCTGGGATTTGTTGTTGAGTTCCGGGGCTCGAAGTCCTTCTGTGTCCACCACCAGGACAAAATCAAAGCCAAGGTCTTCTATGAATGTCTCCTCTATCTTCAGGAGCTGCATGTAGGCCCCTCGGGTGCACCTCCCTGCACTGACCATGAACTGCAGCCCAAAAAGGGCATTCAGCAGGGTGGACTTCCCTGAGCTCTGCAGGCCAAGGATAGAGAGAACAAACAGTCATTTGTCCCCTAGTTTCTCAGAGACCTTGTCAAACACGGCTGCCACCCACTTCAGGGGTACATAGGAAGCATCCCCGTCCATCAGCTCAGTGGGAACCCCAGCGATCATCAGATCCGCAGCAATCTGTGGGAGAAACAGGAATAGGTTATCCTTTGTGCAGGAAGCTTCTTCCAGCGCTTCATAGATCTGGCCCACTTCTCTGAGAAGTTGCTCAATCCCCAGGGAACAGTCATTAATCTCTCTGGAGAGAGCTTCTATCTCACATTCCCAGTCATGCAGATGGTTGCTCTTTGGTATGTTTTGCTTTTCTGTTTGTTTCTGTGACCACAATATCTTTTTCTTTTTTATTCAGTTCTTCCAAGTGTCCAGTTGTAATTTTGTCCAAAAATACACTCATCCATTGGAGGAAATAAAGTTTGGTATGAGTTTCTGAATATGTATGAAGAATTTCAAGAATAGATCGCATTAAATCATTGAGATGAAAGACACTGTTCACCTGTTGTTGCCGTATTCTTTGCTTCTCCTTCTCAATTTCACTCTTGTGTTGTTCAATGCTCCGATTTCCCTTCTCTCACAGATGGTACAGTTCTTTGTCCTTCTTACACCAAAGGTGCCAGAGTTGTCCCTGAAGGGGCAGTAAGTTTTCCTTCATCTCCAAGATCTGCATCTCCCTCAGTAGTGCCATTAAAGTCTCTGCCTTTCCCTTGGCCTCCTTGCAATCTCTCTGGTCCTCATCAATGAGGAATCTCTGCTGGCGAGCAATCTGGGCACAGGCCTGTAAGCTAAGAGCAGCTTCAGATCGCTCTAGCAAACATTGGATTGTAGTTGCGAGCTCTTCTGTTAATTCAGCCTCATTTCTGTTTCTGATTCCTATCTTCACTCTTTGGGCAGACTTACTGCCCATTATTTTTTCTTTGTCATCAAACAAAAAGATCAAAGGTCTTGATAACTGACACAGGTCATGGACAATTTTTCTGTTCTCTTTATTGTCATCAGTGGTTGACGTGAGGACCACAAGGAGAGAAGAGACCTTCTTCAGGAAGGTGAGTTGCTCCTGGTGTTCTTTCACATCTCCATGGAGATTGGTGAAGGTTAGGCAGGTGTGAAATCTGCCTCCTCCTCTCCGCCGGGACAGAACCAGCAGATTTCCACCACACCTCCCATCAAGAGACAGTTTTTGCTGCTCCCTCTGCAGTGTCGATGAAAAAAGACATCGTGTTTACGTTTACTGACAAGACAGTTCATGATCTGAGATTTGGAAGCAGAGAGGCCATTTCCAACTCGAATAAAGGACACAATGAGGGTAGGGACCTGGCACATCTGCTGATTCCTGTAATTGCTCTTCTCAGTTGCTGTTGTCCTTGACTCTTGCCAGGTTTTCCTAATTTGACTGAGAGACCAGAGAGAGAATTCAATTTGAGAAGTGCAGGGGTTAGGTATTAGAAGGGGAAGGGCAAACTGACAAATGGCAAGTTTGCCCAAAATATATTGTCTGGCAAAATCATCTGCACAGTGAAGAATTGCCATCTGAATATCCATAGGGTGGATGTGAGGCCTGGGAGTAGGGCCTGAAGAACTAGTGGCACCTTCACTATTGTAAGGGGCAGGACAGGGCACAAGGCAGGTTTTCTGATCCCATGCAGATCGGGTAAAGGAGGAGTTAGAGTCCTCAGTAGTTTTGCAGGTTTTTTATTTGGGGTTCACCAGGCATATGGCAGGCAGGGGTGCTGGCTGGGGGGCTGGGAGGCTGGCAGGCCTCCCAGCCCCCAGCAAGTCCTCACTCTATCTGGGCTCTCTAGCGTTCGTTCTGCTGCTTCTCGGCTTCGGCTGCGGCTGCTGCTGGTGCTGGTGCTGCTGGCGTCCCCCCGTGACGCCGCCCTTAAAAGCACAGTCTTAGCTCAGCTGAATCCCATCTACCTATGCCCACACCCTATTCCAGGTGCCCACCATCAGGCATGCATTCAGGACAAGGATCCATCATCTATCCTGATGGCGGAAGGGCAGAAAAGCCTGATATTTTCTTTACCCTACAGTCCACCCCCTCAGGGTTTTCTGCCATACAGTCTATACATATATACACAATTTTCTAAGCAAACAAACAATGCAGCCATGGCCCACAAAAGCAAATACATCAAATAACAAAATACAACATAACAAAATACAACAGAACACAAATAAGTCCAGGCAGGGCACCAACCAAGTGCAAAAGACAATTATTGGTACCAGCAGATGAGCCACCAAATCTGCTGCCGAAGGCACTGCTCATACGAGGGAGGGGAAATCACACACGGCATTTGCTATAACACACCAGGAGCCGTCAGGCTTCCTGGCCTTCTCTGGCTGTAGTCTCGGCTACAAGGCACACACAGCATCCACCCCCAGGATGCACTAGCTCTGGGATTGGCAATTTTATTCTGTTGGGGGTAATCGCCAACCCTCAGGGTTTCTGTCTGCAGTCGCTCCAACACTCGGCCTTCATGGCCACCCATGCGACTCGCAGACCCCTGCTCTCAAGCCAACCCACTGCACAAGCACATGGGTTGGGGATCCAAACTTTGCATTTGGCTTGGGCTCCACCCCAAGCCACATTCCCCACCCGTCCCCCAAGGACGGGCTCCTCAGCTCCTCACCCTCACTCAAGAATGAGCAGGGCATCACCCATAGGTGATTTTACGAGACTCACAGGGCTTCAGCATACCCAGGCTGCTTAACAGCCGCTTTAGGGCTTCTCAACTTAGCATCAGTACCAGCTTTTGCCACCTTAGTTGGCTTTTCTCCTCCACCTGGCCACTGGGCATACACAGGCTGCTTTTGGCCATCTAGGCCCACTGGCCACCCCCAGATTCTCAAAAAATAAAGATAACCTGCTAAGGTCCTCCGCCTTCTGGCGGGATTGTCAGTCCAAAATCATCAGTTCATCAGTTCAAGTCCATTGGCCTCTCCCTGCGTCAGCAATGGCCTGCTGCCTCAGGGGTCATTGGCTGGTCCTTTCCGGTGTCGTTGGCTGGTCCTATCCGGTGTCGTTGGCTGGTCCTTTCCGGTGTCGTTGGCTGGTCCTTTCGGGCGTCTCCTTCACGCCAGGTCTCATCCTGTAGCTCGTGGACGTATCCATCTTCTGTACCGCCATGGCGCCTCCAGCGTCGTCACAGGCAGTCTTTTACTCCTTAGTCCCTCCAGGCCTTTGGAGGGCTCCAATACCCATCTGCATGGATCTTGCCGACTTACGCCAATTGTAAGGGCAGGACTGGATACAGGTGCAGGTTTTCTGATCCCATGCAGACCGGGTAAAGGAGGAGTCAGAGTCCTCAGTGGTTTTGCAGGTCTTTTATTTGGGGTTCACCAGGCATATGGCAGGCAGGGGTGCTGGCTGGGGGACTGGGAGGCTGGCAGGCCTCCCAGCCCCCAGCAAGTCTTCACTCTATCTGGGCTCTCTGGCGTTCTCGGCTTCTGCTTCGGCTTCTCCTTCAGGTTCTGCTGCTGCTGGCTGGGGCTGCTGGCGTCCCCCCGTGACGCCGCCCTTAAAAGCACAGTCTTAGCTCAGCTGAATCCCATCTACCTATGCCCACACCCTATTCCAGGTGCCCACCATCAGGCATGCATTCAGGACAAGGATCCATCATCTATCCTGATGGCGGAAGGGCAGAAAAGCCTGATATTTTCTTTACCCTACAACTATCTTCAAAAAGGTCTGCATATGGATCAAAAGCCTCATTTTCATGACTTGTGGTGCTTGGGCAGTCTTGCATCTCTGTTTTTCCATCATCTTTGAAGACCAGGTATCTCAGCCCATAATCCAGCATGAGCAGCTTCTGCAGGAATTAGAAGGGAAGGTCCTGTTCAGAACTGGGCTGCGTGTTATTCACAGAAGCTTTGTAGATCAAATGGAAGTTAGCTCTGTTCATCCTTTTTGGGTAGTAATGCTCTAGGCCTAGACGCTGGAGTAATTCTAGCAAGGGCCTATTTTCTTTGACTTCCCATTTGTTAATTTCATTTTCTTGTGATTCGTGGGGTGGTTTCTTTTCATGGAAGATATTTTGCAATTGTTTCATCACCTCATTCCCTTGCAATGGAGACTTGGTGGCTTCATAATCTCCATCAATGAGCAATTTCAAGTCTTTCTCCAGGTTCTTGCAATCATGAAATGCTCCATATTTGGTGAGCACATGTGCAACTTCTTCAGATAATGATTGTCCCAGGTGCTGTCTTATTAATTCCAAGCATTGTATTTTCTCTTGTGGAGAAAGAGTTGTGACACCAGCAGTGGCCGTCAGCCCTGTGAGCACCAGGAATGCATGAGCCCTGTAGCTGCAAATCGTTTTGAGTTTCTGGTATTGCTTGTGTGTTCTTTGCATTTCATTCGCTAGGAAGTCTAATTGTTTATACCCTAGAATAGATTGGAAAGTTTTGTTTACCGCATGGTATCCTGCACCCATTGCAATGCAAAGTAGTAAGACTTGTACGTCTGACTGCTCATTTTCTTGGAGGTTATTCAGGAAACAGCCAAGAGCCAAGCTAACCTCATAAGTAGCCTTTCTTTGCACTTCCTCTACTGTTTCTAGAGACTCTGATTCGGCCTTCACTTCCATGAGATCATTCTGGGCTTCTTTTAAGATTTTTATTAGTTCAGAAAATTTGGAGATGTTGACATGCTCTTGTGCTGACTCTGGCTGGAAGATCCATTGCATGATGGAACGAGTCTGAGGAAAGTTTGTCACGCTGTAGATGTGAGGATCCAGGAGGATGCGCAAATGAGATTTAACAAATTTAGTATTGTAAGTGGAAACGTTTTTGCAATAGTTGACAGTGTTTAACAGAAAATTCTGCAGACCCCAGTCTGTAAGGCATATGTTAATCCAAGTGTCATAACTTCTTACTTTTTCATTCAACACTTGCATGAAATCTATCAGTTTTTTAAGTTGCTCTTCAGGATCAGCCACCGCCCAGGATCTCACATGCTCTAGGAAAGCCTTAACCTCTGCCCCAGCACTCAGTGATTCTTCCCCCTCCTGGATGTGGGCTGGGAGGCCAGTCAGTGCAGCGTAGCAGTTTTTCAGGAATTTAGCTATGGGGAGCGGGTCCTTGAAATCACTCCTGTGGCTGGAGAGGATGATGTCCCAGATGGGCACCAGCTGAAGTCCCTTGTCAATGACACACCAGGTTTTATTACTGGCCACGAGGCCAGCTTTCCACTGAATGAGGCCGTTTGCTTCTGGTGGGCCCCCTGTCTGGGCAGTAGATAATTGGACTTTGGTTTGGAGACTTTGGAAGGTGTTTT